ATTATGCTGTCTGTATATGTGTATCATTTTTGTATTTGAAGTTATGAATATTGGCTATGTACTTGTATCTCAATGTGTTTGATACTAAGTAGCCTTAGTGAAGCATTTGGTCAGTTTCTTGAGAAAGGACTCATCTGAGTAAGTGCCCAATCAAGAAATAGTTAACTAACAATGGACTTTGAGAGACGCCAATCCACATCTGAGCTTTCCTGGGAATGTTAAAACTAACATGTAAACAATGGTGTTGGCCTGCAAAAAGCTGAATCATTCAAGGACATGTGACTTGCCCAGGTGGCTACAAACTCCATCTTGTTGCTGTGACTTTGCACAGAAGAACAGAGGGGTTTCCGCCCACAAGAGATTGGAGAGGCTTGCAGGGCCTTTTATATTCATTTCGTTGTCAGCAGGCTTAAGAGATGGCCTCTCCACCCCAAAGAGATGCCTGAAAGAAACTGGAACAAAGGACAGTAACTACTGGGGTGTGAGTGATTGCTGGACCCAGACTAGGAAGGAGTCCACTCTGTGAAAAAAGCTTATTGGAACATCTCTAGGGGTAAGATTTCATCTGTTATCAGTTTCTTAATGTATTAGGCTTAAACTTGCATATTTTATTTTGCTTGGTAATTTACTTTTTTCTGTGTGTTATTACTTGGAACCACTTAAATCCTACTTTTTATACTTAATAAAATCACTTTTTGCTTATTAATTAACCCAGCTTAAGTAATTAATACCTAGGGGAGCAAATAGCTGTGCATATCTCTTGTTGTAGAGGGCAGACAATTTATGAGTTTACCCTGTATAAGCTTTATACAGAGTAAAACAGGTTCATATGGGGTTTGGATGTCTGGGTGCTAGAGACAGAAGCACTTGCTAAGCTGTTCTCAGTTAAGTCTGCAGCTTTGGGGGCATGGGTCAGACTCTGGGTCTGTGTTGCAGCAGATTAGTATATCTGGCTCAACAAGGCAGGGTTCTGAAGTCCCAAGCTGGCAGGGAAGACAGGCTCAAAGATAGTCTCAGCACTTCAGGTGACAATCCTAAGGGGTTTCTGTGACCCAACCCATCACAATGGGTTCTGCTTGATAATGATCCAAAGCAGTGTGGACCAATGCACGTTCATTTTCATCATCTGTGTCAGATGCTACCAGCAGAAGGTTGATTTTCTATTTTAATGGTTTGGGTTCTGTGGTTTCTGCTTTGGAGTGTTGCTCTTTTAAGACTTCTGAAAGCATGCTCTACATCTCGTCCCTCTCAGATTTTGGACAGCACTTCAGATTCTTAACCCTTGGGTCAAGTGCTGTAGCTATTTTTAGAAATCTCACAGTGGTACCTTCTTTGCGTTTTGTGAAAACTGCTGTGAAAGTGTTCTTAAAACGAACAACATGTGCTGGGTCATCATCCGAGACTATTAGAACATGAAATATATGGCAGAATGTAGGAAAAACAGGAGACTTACAATTCTCCCCCAAGGAGTTCAGTCACAAATTTAATTAACACATTATTTTTTTAACGGGCATTGTCAGCATGGGAGCATGTGCTCTGGAATGGTGGCTGAAGCATGAAGGGGCATACGAATGTTTAGCAAATCTGGCTCATAAATACCTTGCAACTCCGGTTACAAAAGTGCCATGCGAACGCCTGTTCTCACTTTCAGGTGACTTAAGAAGCAGGAGGCAGTATCTCCCGTAAATGTAAACAAACTTGTTTGTCTGAGCAATTGGCTGAACAAGAAGTAGGACTGAGTGGACTTGTAGGCTCTAAAGTTTTACATTGTTTTGTTTTTGAGTGCAGTTATGTCAAAAAAAATCCACATTTGTTAGTTACACTTTCATGACAAAAAGAGATTGCACTACAGTACTTGTATGAGGTGAATTGAAAAATACTATTTCTTTTGTTTACAAATATTGTCACTGTAAAAATGATGGTCAAAAAATAATATAACATGAGCAGTGTACACTTTGTATTCTGTGTTGTAATAGAAATCAATATATTTGACATCCAAAAATATTTAATATATTTCAATTGGTATTCTATTGTTTAACAGTGCAATTAATCGTGATTAATTTTTTGGGGTTAATCACGTGAGTTAACTGCAATTAATCGACAGCCCTAATGCTTAGTTAACAAAACATAGAGATTCAAGTAATAGCACAAAGTATTGTAAATAAAAGGTTATCTAGAAAATCATAACACGTTCTAGAGTTCAGGATTAATTAACTAGATGCTTTCATGTCTTGTATTCTCTCCAAAAATCATTGCAATGCTCCACAGCAAGGTCATGAGACAAGTCCACTGTCAGCTTGCCTCCTTGGTGAAAGACCCAGTATGGATCTTTGCTCCCCAAGATACACCAGAATAATCCGTCGTCTTTATTCATAAACAGGATCCCACTCCCCTGCTGTTTGTTTCAGCTTGCAGATTTTGCAGTCTCTTACTTTGCCTGTGACTCATTGCGCAAATAGGCATACACTGTGACACAGGGACACAGGTGTCTGTTACCTCCATCCTGAAAGGAACATTTGTGAGGTGTGTCACGTCCTGGTGACGTGCCTTAACTCCAAGACCTTAAGAACATAATTTTTAACATATATACTGTAATAAATTGAGACCTAACTGGAAGACAGGTAGTTGACAGAATGTGTCAGTTAACTGAGCAGAAGTTTACCTGAAGGGCTAATTGAAGGAGAAGCAACCCCAACAGGTGGGATGATATGAATGATAGGAAATAAGCTCTGGACAGGGGAAGTCCAAAGGAAGGCAGAGGGCTAACTGCTGTTCTGTTCCCTTTCCTAGAAGCAAGTGGGGAAGCTGGCTATGGACTGTGAATACTACTACAAGCTGTGGCCTGCTGAAAGAATATAATTGTAAGCAGAGTCAGGATGAGCTCCACCCTGACATCTGGTGGTGCGGTGTGGCAAGTTGTAGAAAAGAACTTCAGGGGCTGGTCTCATTTGCATAGACACACCCACCCAGCCTAGAATGAGCCCATAGCTGCCCAAATGGTCACTTTGGCTGCTGTGGGATCCCCAGTGTCTCTGTTATTGGGGAGGAAGAATAAATTGTTATTATCCTGATTATGGGAATCAAGGACAGTGAAACTATACTTGGCCTTTTGTTATGATGGAGGGACTTGCCATCTACTAAGTAGCACTCGCTAGGCAAGGGACATGGGTTCCAAAACTGTGAATTGAGAGAGACTGGAGACAGGTATTAGTACCTGGTGGTGTGGGCCCCTTTGTGAGGGCCTGAAACATCAGTTGTACCTCCATCTCTCTCCACTGTGGGATATCAGAGCTAATTTTGGGTCTATTAGGAGTTTAGCTACAGGTCCTGAGCTGAATTCACTTTGGCCTTATGATGCACCAGCACTGAGGCTTCCACGACTACAAGCTGAAATTACTAAAGGGCTAAAATTACTAAGAGCTGAAATCACTGAGCACTGTGTTAAGTAGTGGGGAGCCTGAAGATCTATTGCAGAGCAGAGCAAAGCAGTTCCTGGGATGGCTGGAGAGGCTCACAGACCGGCTGGTGGAACAGTTTGTGGGATGGCGGAAGCTGCTTGCGGAGCAGTTTGTGGGACGGCTGGTGGAGCGGAGTGAAGCCCTATGGAGCTGCGGGGCAGTCAGCTTCAGATCATGTAAGGTGCCCCTTACCTCTTCTCTTCCCCCCCCCCCCCACACACACATTTTCACCCAGACTGGGGAGTAACACTCTGCAGATGAACTCTTGAACTCTGGGGCTGGACTTTTGGGTTGTTGGACTTTGGGTGATTTTTGGGTTGCTGGACTCGAGATGTTTGGGTTTGTTGGACTCAAGAACCCGAGGGAAAGGAAATGGCCCAATTTGCTGGGGTGGGTCTTTGCTCATGGTTTGGTTGTTGAACCCTGGTTGTGGTGGTCTCCCAATTTAATGCTGATGTCATTTACCTCATGTTATTAAAGATTCTCTGCTACACCAAGACTCTGTGCTTGCGAGAGGGGAAGTATTGCCTCTTTGAGGCGCCCAGGGGTGTGTGTAAGATTTTCCCAGGTCACTGGGTGGGGGCTCGAGACAATTTTGCATTTGCTTTGATGAGAGGAAACCCCTGTGTACTGAACCCAGCCCTCGCTGCTATCAACTTGGCCTGGCAGAAGGGTTACATAATAAAGCACAGTGGTGCTGAAGGAGACATGGAATGGTTGTGGCCTGTGGTTAGGGTCTAAAAGGACTCTCCAGGGGACACCCCCATGACAGATGCATGACTCCTTAAATATTATCTGTGCATACATTTTGCGCTGATTATAATGACTAATGGGCTACTGGCTCTTGGTAGACCCCTCAGATGCCACACTTTGGTGAACGATTTTGCATATAAACAACGAGGAGTCTGGTGGCACCTTAAAGACTAACATTTATTTGAGCATAAGCTTTCGTGGGTAAAAAACCCACTTCTTCAGATGCATGGAGTGAAAATTATAGATACAGGCATAAATATATAAATTTAAATTTATATAAATATATATAAATTTAAATTTATATAAATATATAAATTTATGCCTGTATCTGTAATTTTCACTCCATGCATCTGAAGAAGTGGTTTTTTTACCCATGAAAACTTATGCCCAAATAAATCTGTTATTCTTTAGGTGCCACCAGACTGCTTGTTGTTTTTGTGGATACAGACTAACACGGCTACCCCTCTGATATTTTGCATATAGCCATCCCTGGGGATCCCTGTAAAACCCTACATACGCCCTGTGCCCTCTGCCAGTTGGCAGGAAGGGATCTGTGGGTCATGATAGCTAGCACTGGTAACAATAATGGTGAAGATATGGCAGCATAGGCTTCAATGCGGTCTAGCCACCCAATTCGTCTGCTGTACAAGCCCCCCAGGGATGCTGTCTATGCACTCAGTTTGTTAGCAGGGTCTGTACCATTGCATCTTCATTGCTATTGTTACCCATGCTGGCTAGATTAAGCTAGACAGACATGCTTAACCACACCACAATTACTTAATTTTGCAGGGCAGATGTACCCTCAGAGACCAGAAGGGGGAAATGGGTGCAGCAAGCCTCATAACTGTGACCGTGTGCTTCAAAATATTTGTTTTATCAGGATATAATCCAACCTCCTACAGCCTATGGTAAGGAGGAGACTTCCCTGATGGTAGTTTGTTATAGAAGAGTCTGTTATGGAATTTCCCCCCACCTTTTCCTGGAGCATTTGGTACTAGCCGCTGTTAGAGAAGACAGAGTGGACTAAAATGGACTATTGTCTGATGTGACATGGCAGTTCTTGTGCTCCTATTTAAAACTAAGGAGTGAAACTAAGGGGGGGAGGGATAGCTCAGTTGGGGGGGAGGGATAGCTCAGTGTTTTGAGCATTGGCCTGCTAAACCCAGGGTTGTGAGTTCAATCCTTGAGGGGGCCATTTAGGGAACTGGGGCAAAAAAAAACTGGGGATTGGTCCTGCTTTGAGCAGGGGGTTGGACTAGATGACTTCCTGAGGTCCCTTCCAACCCTGATATTCTATGATTCTATGATTTCTATGATTTAAAAATTGCTATACTGCCTGTTAAGATAATCTGTTCCCTTGGTTCAGGAGAGGAGGAGATGAGGGATATTGTAAGGGCTGAACCTTATTTAGTAAATGTTTTGAGACCCATTTGTTAACCAAGAAAAGTCTTTAAGGATTGTAGGTTATTTGGTAGCCCACCGCTTCAGTTAAAGGACAAGCCTAATAAGAGTCCCTTGGTCACAGCAAAGGCTCCTAAGAGTGTACTTTTCCCCCCCCCCCTCTAAGCTTTCTAAAGTGCAAAAAGTTTCCTCGCTAGAAGATAACACAAGTCACTACTGAGTGAGGACTATGGTTCATCTCTTCTGAGGCTGTGGAAATAAATATTTTATTTCAGCAATGCACAAGCTAGAGAGGTGAGACATAGGCGCCGACTTCCCCTCTTTTCCATGGGTGCTCACCCTGCCCCCACTCCACCCCTTCCATGAGGCCCTGCCCTCATTCCAACCCCTTCCCCAAAGTCCCCGCACCAACTCCACCCCCTCCCTGCCCCTATTCTAACTCCTTCACCAAATCCCGGCCCTGCCTCCTCCCCTGAGTGCGCCACATTCCCACTACTCACCCCACCCACCCAAGCATACAAACAGCTGTTTGGCAGAAGCCGGGTGAGAAACGCTGGGAGGTAGGCGGAGGAGCGGGGACGCGGCGTGCTCAGCCCTGGAGCACCATGGAGTCAGCGCCCATGAGGTGACTCATCAAAGAGGGGGAAGAGATGCTGGGTTCTGTCTTAGCCTGTGAATCTAACGACATGGGATTATTTCCTAGTAATTGTCTCATTCTGGTGCAAATGCAGCTTTTTCTAGAAAGCTGTTGAAAATATCTTTGCTAATGGGATAGAATTTGTTCTGTGTTGCCTAAATTGTTGGAATGACACTAATATTAGCTGTAGAAGAATAGGGACACTCAGAGGAGCCCATTCCTGCTGGGCTCTTTGCCTGTGGCTAAACAGAAATGTTCCCCGCTGTTAGCCACGGGGAGGGTTGAGGGGGTAGCCACGCGGTGGGGGGAGGCAAAATGCGACCTTGTAACGAAAGCACATGTGCTATGTATGTAATGTTAACAGCAAGGTTTACCCTGAAAGAGTGTAGCCACTGTTTTATAAAATGTGTCTTTTTAAATACCGCTGTCCCTTTTTTTTTCTCCACCAGCTGCATGTGTTTCAATGATCACAGGATCTTCTCCTTCCCAGAGGCTAGTGAAGATTAGAAAGAAAAAAAAAACGCACTCGTGATGAAATGTTCTCTGAGCTCATGCTGTCCTCCCACACTGACAGAGCACAGACGAATGCGTGGAGGCAAATAATGTCAGAGTGCAGGAAAGCACAAAATGACCGGGAGGAGAGGTGGCGGGCTGAAGACAGGGCTGAAGCTCAAATGTGGCGGCAGCGTGATGAGAGGAGGCAGGATTCAATGCTGAGGCTGCTGGAGGATCAAACCAGTATGCTCCAGTGTATGGTTGAGCTGCAGCAAAGGCAGCTGGAGCACAGACTGCCACTACAGCCTCTGTGTAACCAACTGACCTCCTCCCCAAGTTCCGTAGCCTCCACACCCAGACGCCCAAGAACGCGGCGGGGGGGGCCACCGGCCAACCAGCCACTCCGCCACAGAGGATTGCCCAAAAAAAAGAAGGCTGTCATTCAATAAATTTTAAAGTTGTAAACTTTTAAAGTGCTGTGCTTAAAGTGCTGTGTGGCATTTTCCTTCCCTCCTCCACCACCCCTCCTGGGCTACCTTGGTAGTCATCCCCCTATTTGTGTGATGAATGAATAAAGAATGCATGAATGTGAAGCAACAATGACTTTATTGCCTCTGCAAGCGGTGATCGAAGGGAGGAGGGGAGGGTGGTTAGCTTACAGAGAAGTAGAGTGAACCAAGGGGCGGGGGGTTTCATCAAGGAGAAACAAACAGAACTTTCACACCGTAGCCTGGCCAGTCATGAAACTGGTTTTCAAAGCTTCTCTGATGCGTACCACGCCCTCCTGTGCTCTTCTAACCGCCCTGGTGTCTGGCTGCGCGTAACCAGCAGCCAGGCGATTTGCCTCAACCTCCCACCCTGCCATAAACGTCTTCCCCCTTACTCTCACAGATATTGTGGAGCACACAGCAAGCAGTAATAACAGTGGGAATATTGGTTTCGCTGAGGTCTAAGCGAGTCAGTAAACTGCGCCAGCGTGCCTTTAAACGTCCAAATGCACATTCTACCACCATTCTGCACTTGCTCAGCCTGTAGTTGAACAGCTCCTGACTACTGTCCAGGCTGCCTGTGTATGGCTTCATGAGCCATGGCATTAAGGGGTAGGCTGGGTCCCCAAGGATACATATAGGTATTTCAACAATCCCCAACAGTTACTTTCTGGTCTGGGAATAAAGTCCCTTCCTGCAGCTTTTGAAACAGACCAGAGTTCCTGAATATGCGAGCATCATGTATCTTTCCCGGCCCTCCCACGTTGATGTTGGTGAAACGTCCCTTGTGATCCACCAGAGCTTGCAGCACTATTGAAAAGTACCCCTTGCGGTTTATGTACTCGGCGGCTTGGTGCTCCGGTGCCAATATAGGGATATGGGTTCCGTCTATGGCCCCACCACAGTTAGGGAATCCCATTGCAGCAAAGCCATCCACTATGACCTGCACATTTCCCAGGGTCACTACCCCTGATATCAGCAGATCTTTGATTGCTTGGGCTACTTGCATCACAGCAGCCCCAACAGTAGATTTGCCCACTCCAAATTGATTTCCAACTGACTGGTAGCTGTCTGGCATTACAAGCTTCCACAGAGCTATTGCCACTCGCTTCTCAACTGTAAGGGCTGCTCTCATCTTGGTATTCATGCGCTTCTGGGCAGGGGAAAGCAAGTCACAAAGTTCCATGAAAGTGCCCTTACGCATGCGAAAGTTTCGCAGCCACTGGGAATCGTCGCAGACCTGCAACACTATGCGGTCCCACCAGTCTGTGCTTGTTTCCCGAGCCCAGAATCGGCGTTCCACAGCATGAACCTGCCCCATTAGCACCATGATGCATGCATTGGCAGGGCCCATGCTTTCAGAGAAATCTGTGTCCATGTCCTGATCACTCACGTGACTGTGCTGACGTCGCCTCCTCGCCCGGTATCGCTTTGCCAGATTCTGGTGCTGCATATACTGCTGGATAATGCATGTGGTGTTTAATGTGCTCCTAATTGCCAAAGTGAGCTGAGCGGCCTCCATGCGTGCCTTGGTATGGCGTCCGCACAGAAAAAAGGCGCGGAACGATTGTCTGCCGTTGCTTTGACGGAGGGAGGGGCGACTGATGACACGGCTTACAGGGTTGGCTTCAGGGAGCTAAAATCAACAAAGGGGGTGGCTTTACATCAAGGAGTATTTCAGGCAGGACTTCACGGAGGGTTCCAATAAGAAATGGTGCACCTAAGTTATTGTTCTTATTGGAACAAGGAGGTTAGCCTGGCCTCTGATTGATACATGGCTAGATTTACCTCACTGCACCTTCTCTGTGAGTGACTGCAGTGTGACCTAGAGGAATGAGTCCCCTAGACGGGGGAGGGAGGGAAGCAAACGAGTACAAAACAAATCTGGTCTATTTCTTGTTTTGATCCACTCCATCTATCTTTTACATCTTTGGCTGGCAGCAGACGGTGCAGAAGGACTGCATGCCATCCACATCTCATGGCTGCTCAGCAGAAGATGGTACAGTACGACTGCTAGCCATTCTCATCTCTTGCCTGCCCGGCAGAAGATGGTACAATACGACTGCTAGCAATCTGTATTGCCTTCCTGCTCACCATAAGACAGTTCAATAGGACTGACTGCAGGACTAAAGAGAATGACCTGGTCAAGTCACTCCAAATTTAGTCCCTGCGCCCATGTCTGCCCAGGCGCTCCCAGTCGATGTGGCCAGGAGCACCTCGAACATGACGATGACGGCTACCAATTGTATTGTACCGTCTGCTGCCAGAAGGGAATGGGTTGCTGCTACTGTGTAGCAATGCCATACAGCGTCTTCCAGCACCCAGGAGACATACGGTGACGGTTACTTGAGCGGGCTCCATGCTTGCCGTGGTATGACGTCTGCACAGGTAACTCAGGAAAAAAGGCGCGAAACGATTGTCTGCCTTTGCTTTCACGGAGGGAGGGAGGGAACGGGGGCCTGACGATATGTACCCAGAACCACCCGCGACAATGTTTTAGCCCCATCATGCATTGGGATCTCAACCGAGAATTCCAGTGGGCAGCGGAGACTGCGGGAACTGTGGGATAGCTACCCACAGTGCAACGCTCCGGAAGTCGACTCTAGTCTCGGTACTGTGGAAGCACTCCGCCGAGTTAATGCACTTAATGCACTTAGAGCATTTTCTGTGGGGACACACGCACTCGAATATATAAAACCGATTTCTAAAAAAACGACTTCTATAAATTCGACCTTATTCCGTAGTGTAGACATACCCTCTGTCTCCTCTGTCTCTCTCCTTTTTGACTTGCATGTAATAGATTGTAATGTTACCAACTCAGATAAACATTAAACATTTTTTGCAGTGGTCCCTGACAGTGTAACTAAAACCATGGCAATACACAGGACCTGAACCAGTCTGAACTGTAATTGCACAGTAGACTAGAATGGCTCCAGTCCCCTGGCATCAAGCTGAGGTGGACTAACCCGCAATCCTTTTCAGCAAGTACAAAGCTACAGAGAGAACTTGAAGTGGGATTCAGTATAAGGAGTGAAGTCTGGCTCTTCCTTGGTAGAAAATCCTTTCAACCCCCTTGTGGCTGGATCTGGGCATGATGTTGCTCACCCAGACAGCTGCTGTCCTGTATAGGTGCTTGCATTACCAGTCAAGGCAGCTACGACAAGAGAAGCCCCCTGCTGTGTTTCCACCAGCTTCATTAGAAGTAGTGTATGGGGGAGGACTGACCATGTAGGCCACATGCCCCTGCTCCTTTCTGACCAGCTATTAGTGGCTTGGGGAAATCTCACTTTCTACCTCTCACCTCATACCTGATGGCAGCGACTTCTAGCAGTCAGCAGAGACCTACCAACACAAAACCCAAAGGGCATCTGTGATCCCCACCTCCTCCAGCTGTCATCTCTGCCTTGGCCTCTCGGCTTCTCTGCTTGCGTTCACCTGCTGCAGCCAGAACAAACATGCTGGCAGCCAACCACTTTTCCCATACTCTGCCTTGATGCTGAGAGGGGAAAGGTTCCAGAAACTCTCTCCATTTCAGCACCTCATGGAGGTTATGGTGGTCTCTTCTGTTTGCTGACGTCAAAGGGAAGTTACTCCCATGTCAGTACTGTGATTTAAAACAGAGAATGGCATTAAAACAAAGGAACCTGTTTGTGTCTAATAATAATTTCTAACTCTTCTAGCACTTTTCGGCAGCAGATCTCTAAATTCTTTACAAAGATCAGCATTATTATCTCCATTTTACAGATGCATAAACAGGGAGAAGGAGATGAAGTGACTTGGCCAAGGTCACCCAGAAGGCCAGTGGCAGACCCAGGAATAGAATCCAAGTTTCCTGTGTTACAGGCTAGTGCTGTCTCCACACTTCCTCCCCTAGATTACATACGTAATTCGTCACTTTCCATAATTGAACCTAGCTAAAACAATCTCAGCATGGGAGCTGGGGGGAATAAAAGTGAATAGCTATCTACTTCTTGAAAGCAATCCCCTCAAGTGAGCCTTTCAGCATCACATCCTTGCTTCATCATAAAGCCACCCTGAACCAGAGCAGCTCCCCTCTTTCGACACCTGCTTTCTCTAGTACCATCTGCACAAAAGGGGTTTGGGGGTCTGGCTACATTCTCTTTGTGGTGGACCACTGAGGACAGAAAGATCTTTTAATGATGATAATATCCAGTTGACTTTCAACAGCTTAATGACCTAAGTCAGATACCACCTTTCACAGATCAAGCTGGTTGTATCTGGTTTCTATCAGGCCTCTTTTTAAAAAACACTCTAAGCAGTTTTTTTCCTTTTACTGTGAATTCTGGACAGAGATCAAGACCACATGTCACAGGACTCCTAACTAACCACCCAGCTCATCACTAGCAGGCACCTGGTCCCCACCTGACCAATTACTTTATGGCCAGAAACTTCAAGACAATCTGCCTCCCCCCACATCTGATAATTGAGCTAATGGGAATGAAAGATCAGGGTGGATCAAGAGGGCTGGAGTAGACAGAAGGTAGGTTTGGAACAAGGAGAAGATACTGACTTTAAACAATTGCATTAAAATAAATTTGATATCCACGACATGAGGCATTTGATAGAGGTACTCATCATATATATTTTTAATCAAAATACATTCAGATTCTAAACTGTTCTAGGCACAGACCTGTTATGTCTGTGTAGTGTCTAGCACATTGTGGGCACTGTATAAATAAAAAACAAAACTCCATTTGCAAAGGTAAATCAGTTTCACTCAGTTCAATGGTGGTAAAGTGGAAGAATGTTATAGAAATCATAGAAAACAGCTGGGTGGATTAACTTTAAATCACAATTTAAATAAGCAAGCAGGAAATCTCAATTAAAGTCCTTTTAATCTTGATTTGCATTTGTACTTTTTAGCTATTTTCCTAAAGAGAGGTTTGTTCTTATTGATTGGTATAACTTCTAAAACATGTTGATTTGCAATCAAATATCACCTTTACACAAAAATTGATACTTCTCTTTGCCAACAAGAAGGAAACACTTTTATCTATATGCATTTATTTAAGCTTAACATACTTATTCAGATTCTTAATTTTTTCCATTTTTACGTGGGAATATGGTGAATGACTCATTCCTTATTTACTGAATGGTGATTTTTTTTATTAGGGATTTGTCATGCTGCATTTGGTTGGAAATTACCGTTTTAATGCATTTTTAATTTAATACCAGTTTACATTTTTTTTTATATTAGTGAAATAAAACTACCTCAAAGGTGCTGGAAACAAACTCCCACTTTTTCCTCTCAAAACATTTTTTTTAATTTAAAACTGATTTATTAAACAATGGAAATATTAACTGCCATTGGTGAATTGACAAATTGTTTCTGGTCATTATGGACCAGATTTTCAAGGGTGTCTAATGAGATTTTCAGAAATACCCATGGGGGATAGGTACTTCTGAAAATCGGATGAGGCACCCATTTGGATCTTTAGTCACCAAAATACCCTTGAAAATTAGGTCCATTATCTCCAGGTTTTCATCAGTTTTTAATGTTCTCCTACCCGTTTTTTTAGTGATTAGAAGAGGAAAACAAGCTTTCCTACTTTTTCAGCTCTCCGGTCCGTTTCTCAACTTTGCATGAACTAGTTCAAATGAGGAAAATATTCTCTCTGCATCTGCTAGCTAAACTAAAATGAAAAGTAAGAAAGGCATTAAAGGCAAAAACTTCTCTGCAAAACAAACTGAAATAACTTACATTTGGAAAAAATGTAATTACCGCCATTTGCTCCATTGTAAAGACTGAAAATAATATCAAGACTTAAATGCAGTATAAGACATTGTAATGTAACTACTGTATTAAGCTTGAATTGACCTCAAAAGTTAGATGTTATCCACTGGTTTTGTACATATTTAAAAATTAAAAAAAAAGCAGCACACTTTAACTCATTAAATCAGAGGTCCCCAAACTGTGGGGCACGCCACCCTATGCGGTTGTGCAGGAATGTTTGGGGGGACGTAGCATAGCAGGGCCTGGGACGGCCCCCATGGGCAAGAGGGAGGGAGCATCACGCAGCCTTGCTCTGTTCCAAGCTGTGCTCTAGCCCCAGCCACAGCCCCAGCTCCCGGCCCTATGCCCAGCTGCAGCCCCACTCCTGGCCCTGGCTCATGGCAGGATGAGGTGCGGACAGGGCTAAGTGGGGGTTTGACCCTGAAATGTTTGGGGACCACTGCATTAAACTCTGAGATGGGCTCATTGATGTAACCTTTTAAAATTTATTTAAATGAATGATCAATTTTAGTGAGTTTAGGCCTTCACATAGCTGGTCATAAATTCAAATTTAAACAGGATTATTCTTTTCAAAACTATGTATCTACTTTAAATAAAAAAAATTGGATTTTTACACTGGATTTTTTTTTTAATCTATCTTGGGAAAAAGAATAGGTATCAGCTCTAACCGGAGTTGCATCTTACAGAAAAACATGCTACAGAGCAGGACTTTCAACCTTTCCAGACGACTGTACCCCTTTCAGGAGTCTGATCTGTCTTGCGTACCCCAAGTTTCACTTTACTTAAAAACTACTTGCTTACAACATCAGACATAAAAATACAAAAGTGTCACAGGTCACTATCACTAAAAAATTGCTTCTGTTCTCATATTTGCCATATAACTATAAAATAAATCAATGGGAATATAAATATTGTACTGACATTTCAGTGTATAGTAGATAGAGCAGTATAAACAAGTCATTGTATGAAATTTTAGTTTGTACGGACTTTGCTAGTGCTTTTTATGTAGCCTGTTGTAAAATGAGGCAAATATCTAGATGAGTTGATGTACCCCATGAAAGACCTCTGAGTACCCCCAGAGGTACACATACCCCTGGTTGAGAACCACTGCTGTAGAGAATCATTTCTAGGTTATAGCAAGAAGATAGGCTATATAGGGTAGTAAAGCAGACCAGCAAATATGAATGATAGATACAGATCATCCACTTACAAAAAAAATTGTAGGAAAGTAACTTTCTCTCCCCCGTACTTGGCTAAGATTAAAGAGAAGAAATGTATTGTGTGTTTGTCAATATAAAAGTATGGATGAGTTTGTTGGGGCAAGGAGTGTCTCCTCACTTGTACAGTGCCTAACACAATGGGGGTAACATCCCTTGAGTGTGGCCTCTATGTGAGACTGTACTAAAATTTTCAAATATCATCACTGTATTCAGGAACATTCATATTTATTCCAGAAATTCACATCTTGTATAGGAAAATAACATAACCCAAATAAAAAATCCCAGTCATGCCACTGGAGCACAGGTAGACTGAAGTGTCACTGAAAAATAGATCATCTACCCATCCTTTTAGTCTTGTTGTACATTGCCTATGCACCACAGTGTCCCTAAAGCATACTAAGAGATGCTCAGAGTATGTTCACAATAAACCTGTTTCTAAAAGTTACATTAGAGCATCGTATATATTCAGTGTTTTTCTTTGCAATCCCATTCTGTTTCACATGCTCAGATATTCCCAAATGAAGTGCACAAGACATAAAACATTCCACATGCCCTCATCTGCAAAGAGGAAGGGGAAGCAATTAAAAGTTTGCATGCTGTGAAATCTCTAGGCACCAACAGTTTCTGCATAGAATTTTATAACATTTTAAAGAACAATTGGTTTTTCCCTGTCTGGGGTGATGAATGCAAGGCTACTTGTCTTTTTGAAGGAGGGCTACATCTTAGTCATTCTCAAACATGCTAAAAGCCTGCTGCTTTTCGTATGGGCTTCTGTCTCCTGAACTGAGATCAAGGTCCTGGCAACAAATTGCATCTCACAGGCTGGTGAAAGTTCTGTCCACCTTTACAGGCGTGCCTCAGTGAGACATTGTAAAGGAGAGACAGGCTTCTGATAATATAATGTCAAGCTGTGTCTGAGGCTGTGGGTTGGCTCCTGGGCTCAGTTTAACAGGAGTAAGAATATTAATTACATGCTTTGACCTGATTCAGATAGGGCAACATGTGAATGCCCTCCCCTCAACCTTTACATTGTTGGGTAGGGGAGACTGTACTCATCCTCCTGAAAGGTGCGTGTCAGAGGAAATGGGATCAAACCTCTTAAGAAGTGTCCGTTCCAGACAGGAAGAAACAAAAGCTGCTCCACGTGAGCTTTGCTTTTTGTCTTTACGCGGCCAACTCCATCATGCAAATTCTGAAATAAAGTAGCCACTAAAGGGAAGGGAGAGATAAATGTGCTGTTTGCTGCTGATTACAATGCAATTATTCTCCTATCATTGTACACAAGCACTGTTGTGTGGAATTATTTCAGGGCACAAGGTAAAACATATTGTAAATTTGAAACCTGAATTCTGTTCTCATAAATGTTTCATTTAAAGCTCTGTTTTTATTTTAGATGGGCGTGAAAAGAAAGTGCATTTAATGGTACTTTTATACCCATGAGACTCAGCTGTATACATTTGTCAACAAAAACTAGTTTTCACTCGATTAGTAGAACAACAATTTACTACACTAGTAAATATGGAATGAAGCTTGACTTTAATGTGGCCTTTTTAATCTATTTATTGCAGCATGTATGGTTTATAGTTTCAGATGTTAGTGAAGTCAGTAATGTCCAGACACAATGAGGTGTAATAAGGATGGAGTTAAGGCATTAACTTGCTTCCGTGAGGTTTAAATTAGATCCTTCATTGTTACTTTGATATGTAGATTTGTTTTAAATAACCTTTGCAACTGGCTGTTTGGCAGGGATGTGCTGCCAAGCATTTTAACAATGGGTCCCTCAAATTTTCTACCTGGGTTAGCGATATAGGGCATGTTTCCTGGGTAAAACACTCTTTCCAACACTTCCCAAAAACTTCATTCACTCTGTGACAGGTTGGACCCCCCTTCTGGGATGTCACCTGATGTACTGGGTTTCACTGAGCCACCCCTGCTCAATCAGCCTGGGTTCCCTCTGCCTGCTTTGCTGAATTAGGCTCTCTGGCCTCTTGCAGTGCACACACAGGGCCACAGCCCACTGCAGACAGACTGAAGTCAGCTTTGTGTGAGAGGACTCCCCCAACACTCCTCTTTTTGGGACATAAACCCAAAATAATACTGTCTTGCACTGTACAGAAAAATCTGTGTAGCGCAAGCTCATAAAAATCCACCCTCTTCCTCAATGTGAAGAGAGATGGGCACGCTTCTTGCCCCCTCCCAGTTAGAAATTGCATAAACTGGAATGCATTCTTCTTATAAACAAGAAATAAGTTTATTAACTACCAAAGGTGGATTTTAAGTGAATATAAGAGATAACAGACAGAACAAAGCAGATTACTAAGCAAATGAAACCAAACATGCAAACTAAGCTAGTTTCATTAAAGAAATTGGTTATAAATAGTATTTTTCACCCTAGCTGTTGTTGCAGGCAGGTTACAGAATTTTTTTTCCCCCAGGTGACATCTGCTTTATTGGGTGAGGTGTGCCATTTAGGAGTTAGCATAGGGGCCCTTCTTCTTGCCAAAGCCCAGCACAATATTGACAAAGTGCCTGTTGTACTGCATGCGTCTCTTGGCATGGCCAGTTTTCTTCTTCTTCTTCTTCTTCTCTTGCTTGGCAACCTTGGGAGTCTGGTCTCCCACCTTCCCAGCACAAGCCAGCGAGCCATGGACCTTACCACCCAGCATGCGAGCAGCCACCTCCAAGGTGGTAAGCTCGCTGATGCCACATTGCCTAATCAGAGATCCATCCTCCAAGGGAGTTCCACCCAAGAGAACCATCTGATCCTCAGGTGCAATGCCCTCCAGGGACTCAATGCGAGCCTTAATGTGAGTGACTGTTTCCTGTCCAGACACCTCAAGGGTGTGCAGGTTCTGAGCACAGATGAACAGCTGCATGGTTCCAGCTACGCAGGAAACACCGCCACCATACAGGATGGAGCCGGAAAGAGAAAGAAAGTCTTGAAAGTCAGTTGCACTGGTCTCCCTCTTGAGACCTCAGGTATTATTACAGTAATCACAAGCTAGACGCCTTTCCAGCTTGGGCTCAACCCTTCTCCCCACAGTTCTCTTGCTTCCAGGTCTTTTTTCAGTGTCTCTTAGGGTGGGGAGGCAGAGGAGAACCATGATGATGTCACTCCCCTCTTATATAGCTCTTGTGTAAGGCGGGAACCCTTTGTCTTCTAGCGGAAAACCATTGGTATTCCAAAAGGGTAAAAGGGGTATCCAGTACTAGGTGACTTGGACCCAAGTCTCATAGGCTGTCTCCAGAGTCCAAAGGAAGACCAAGCTTTTTCACAGTCCATTGTCTCTACTAATGACCCATTAGGCCTGTCTGGCTTTTGCACTGTTGTACCTGAAGCGCTGGTTGGGGGTGATACCCAAAGTAACACATTTGAAATACAGATACATAGTTAATAGTCCTACCTTCAGATACAGAAATGATACAGGCATACAAATTGGATAATCACATTCAGTAAATCATAACCTTTCCAATGATATCTCATATGAGCCATCTTGCATAACTTATATCTGTTATGTCATATTCATATCATAAGCATATTTCTATAAATAATATGAAGTGAAACATCACACACTCCATACTCCTCCAGACTTAACAAGGGCTGTAGGCATCCCAGGAATTGGGTTAAAGTCTGAATGAAAGGTATAAGAAAAGCCAATAAACCAGTAACTACCCACTCAATAATGTTGTTCCCCTCTTTCCCCCAGAAGGTAGGTTGAGCTAACTAAGAAGTTCTTAGTCAATGGACTGCCACATATGTAGGCATAAAAGGCATCTTTCCTTTTCTGGGTAAGACTATTTCCTGCCTTTACCAGCCAGGAGAGACTCTAAGTACTGTACAGGATCAGTTATTAACATTCAATCGATGCTTCAGCCACATTCCCAAACACTGTCTTCCCCAGAGTTCATCAGGGAGGTGTCATCTTGCAGATGCTGGTAGAGAGCAGATGACTAAATAAACCAAGACAACAAATACAACACAATAGTGGCCTAATGTTGGTAACCCTGAAAATCTCTCTGTTTATGTTCTGTGGAAATGTAAATAGAAGGAAACAGATTATCAATACACTGTCAAAGCTATTCTAGAGCGGTGGTTCTCAAAGCCGGTCCTCCGCTTGTTCAGGAAAAGCCCCTGGCGCGCCGGGCTGGTTTGTTTACCTGCCATGTCCGCAGATTCGGCTGATGACAGCCCCACTGGCCTGGAGCGGTGAACCGTGGCCAGTGGGAGCCGCGATCAACCGAACCTGTAGACGCAGCAAGTAAACAAACCGGCCAGGGGCTTTCCCTGAACAAGCGGTGGACCGGCTTTGAGAACCACTGTTCTAGAGCACAAAGTTGAAAGTGATCATTTTCCTTGTAGAGAAGAAAGCTAAAGCAGAGTTTAACTTCATAAATTGTATCTTAAAAGTGGCTTAAAGCATTTTTTTATAAACTGCATAAATCAAGTCAAAGTGGTAAGAAAAGTGTTGGATTGCAATTTAAATGTCATTTGCTTCTAACTTTATATGAAGTATGGTGGTGGTAAAACATTATGGTTGTTATTTCAAAAGTTTACAACTGAACATTGACTTAATACAGATTTGAAACTTTACTACGCAGAAGAAAAATACTGCTTTTAACCATCTTAATTAAATGAAATACGCACAGAAATAGTTTCTTTACCTTGTCAGGTTTTTTTTAAACTTTTCCTTTATATTTTTAGTAGTTTACATTTATTGGTACTGTATTAGGGTTGTTTTGGGGGTTTTTTTTTCTGTCTCTGCTGCTGCCTGGTTGCATACTTCCAGTTCCAAATGAGGTATGTGGTTGACCAGTCAGTTTGTAACTGCTATTCTACTGTATTTTGTATGTACTGATTTAAATAATATTGTCACCTTTTAATAATAATGTGATAATCCAAGTGATTATTTAAAATAAAGGACAACGACCTTCTAACTGTGCCCCAAACTCATTAATACTATGAGTACCTTCTGGATATACAGCACATATTGTGTGTATATATACTAAATAAACTTTGCTTACACCAGTGGTTCTCAAACTTTTGTATTGGTGTCCCCTTTCACATAGCAAGCCTGAGTGCAGCCCCCCCTTATAAATTAAAAACATTTTGATATATTTAACAGCATTATAAATGCTAGAGGCAAAGCTGGATTTGGGGTTGAGGCTGACAGCTTGCAAACCCCCCCCCCCCATATAATCGCCTCATGACCCCTTGAGGGGTCCCGACCCCCAGTTTGAGAACTTCTGGCTTACACAGTCCACATGTATCCTTTTGCTCCCTTGGAAAAAAACAAGTCATTAAAATATTTTGAGATAAATTAACTATCAAGTTAAATGAGATAGTTAGATTCATTACATGTGAATATAGCAGTTGTTGAGTATTGTGGTTATAATGGAAACCTCAAATGATCAACAGCTGCTTTAACACCACTATAAAGACACCTGATGACACTTGCATGTTCTAGCTAAGCTCTTCCTTCTCAAACGTGTATCTTTTCATGTCACCATCCTTACTTTGGCAGTTTTGTTGGGAATTTAAAGTGTAGGAAGACTACTGGTTTGGAATGTTATTCCCTTGAAGAAGGCAATTGTATTGTTGGCAAGAGAAGGAGAAATGGATAGCTAATCAGGGGGCAAAGATGGTTGTAACTGCTATCTCTGGGGTCTATTGTCACTAGCCCTATATAATTGTACAGGGGAGTAAGCCCCTCTCTGACCCCCTACTTTGTGGCTGTGTTAGGGCTACCTATCCCTTGAGTCTTCAACCTGCATATAGCACAGAGGCTTCCCCTTGCCTGCTTGCCCTAAGGAACAAGGAACACAGAGGGTAGTGGCTGAAGCTGACTGGGCATGCAGGAGGATCTACACTGCACCTCTTCAAGAGTTGCAGTAAACCACTTCCCTTAATCTCACTCCCTGAGGAGCAAGGGGGAATTGTGCCACTGAATAAGAATTCCTACTCAGAGGGCAGTGCCGCTAACATCCCACCCTAACACAGAGCTGTGTCTGAGGAGTGGGCTTTTCAAAAGTGCCTAAAGTGGTTATAGAGGACAAGTCTGACTGCAAATGGACCTTGTGCTCCTGTTGTCTACTTGCATGATTTTAGCACAAGTCTTGTAGTTTTTGGTGTATTTCTGATAGCCCCAACTCCTGGAATCAAAAGAATCACAGCTTTCATTCTTTTTTATTATTATTCTTTAAGGTAAGTTTCTAGACATCATGGTTGCAGAGAAAAGATTGCAGACATGAAGCAAATGAACCCTAAATGCTCAGAAAATAGAAGGCAAATAAAAAGAACCCCAAATGCATTATTTAAAATGGTTTTTTGAGCCAATCTCATGATTTTTGGATACTTGAGGTTGGCAATACAGAGTTCATGCAAAAATCCCACCCAAGGGTACACTCTAGCCCTGTATGTCTAAGTATCTCTTTACCAAAGTGCACTTGAATTTTAGAGCTAGAAAAGTTATGGTTTAGACATTTTATATGAATGACCTGAATCTCCTTTTCTCCAGGTGTAAAACCTCCACCCTGGCCCCTGTAGAGATTCCTAGTTACTGAATTACAAATTGGTTCAAGACATGTGGCTGTAGGGCACGGATATGGAATTTCTTCACTATAAAGCATTAGATTGATTTGGCATTCTCACAGAGCAACATGTGGGCATAAGATTGGGGTCTTCAGCTGGCACGCATTTGAAGCATCATGGCAATAAAGAACTCAGAAAGAGGGAGGGCCCTCACATAAGTCTACCACTGCCTTTGTGGTGTTCATGAGCTCCTGAGGGAGTTGTACCCAGCCCTCCTCCTAGAATAACTGTCACTGTGACATGACCCTTGTAAGAAGGGAGGGTGGGAAAGGGCCCATAAAAAGTGAGAAACCAGGAGTTTCCCTGCTATAAGAGAGGTTAGCACATAATTTTTGCCAAACTTCATGACTTATTTAACCAACTGAAATGCAAATATGAAAGCTCAAGACTACTACTAAATGGGAAGGTAGTTGAGCGAGAACATTATCTAATATTTGGGGAGCTTTCTTTAGAATCAGCAACGCCAAAAAATGATCATACCATTGTGACATTTCTCAGGGTGCAACCTGAACAGTTGAATAGCTCTGTCCTCTCAACCCTCCGACCTGGGGTGCCTGTCACACTGCTTTACTGTGAGAACAATCATCCTGGCCTGTTCACACACAGCCTCTAGCACAGGGGTGGGCAAATTTTTTGGCCTGAAGGCCACATTTGGAAATAAAAATTGCATAGTGGGCCATGAATGCTCACAAAAGTGGGGTTGGGGTGCAGGAGGGGGTGAGAGCTCTGGTTGGGGGTGCGGGCTCTAGGGTGGAGCCAGAAATGAGGAGTTCAGGGTGCAGGAGGGGGCTCTGGGCGAGGGTGGGGGAGTGGGGTGGAGGGGGTGAGGGCTCCGGCTGGGGTGTGCAGACTCTGGGGTGGGCCTGGGCCTGAGGGGTTGGGGTATAGGAGGGTGCTCTGGGCTGGGACCGAGGGGTTCATAGGGAGGGAGGGGGATCAGGGCTGGGCAGGGATGTGGGAAGGAGTGCAGGCTCCAGCTTGGGGTGTGGGCTCTGGGGTGGGGCAGGGGATGAGAGGTTTGGGGTGCAGGAGGGTGCCCCAGGCTAGGATCAAGGGGTTTGGAGGTCAGGAGAGGGATCAGGGCTGGGGCAGGGGGTTGGGGCATTGGGAGAGACTCAGAGGTACAGGCTCCCAGCGGCATGTACCTCAAGTGGCTCCCGGAAGCAGCGGCATGTCCCTTCTCCAGCTCCTACATGGAGGCACGTCCAAGCGGCTCTGCACACTGCTTCGTCTGCAGGCATTGCCCCACAGCTCCCATTGGAGCGGGGCCATTGGCGCATGTAGGAGCCAGAGTGGGGCCATGCCGTGGCTTCTG